AGGCAGAGGGGTTCGGTTGGGATGGACCACAGCGCTGTGACGGGATAAAACTTTATAAGTCTGCCAATAAACATACAGGTCTGAGTACTGGACCAGATTCTTGCACCTGATTTGGGGTCTCATTGTACACGATACTTAGCACAACTAATGAAGTGATCTACACAAGTCCTGAGGATTTCGTTAACCAAGACCACAAAGAATTGTTGTACGAGATCTGTGCACCTGCCATCCAAACACAGATACTGCATTTGTGTCTCGACCAGCAACATCTGGACTATGGTTCTTCATCCCATATGTAGATTCTTATTAACACCAGAGTAGAAATGGCTGCGTTTGGAGCTGTGCTGTAACCAGACTGTTCAGTGATAAATCTGTTTTGCGTTAGTACAGATGACCACTGCGTGGAGGAGTTGAAAGAAGAGGACCAATCTTGACAATGTTTGAGACACACACTGTCATATCCCCTGGCACTGTGGTGTGGCCAGACGTCATGTTGAGGTCTTCCCGAGGCCATCCAGCCCCCTGATCATTCCCTAATCAAACATGTGGGATCKACATAAAAGTCTGTTCCAACTCTGTGCTGATCTGTCGGATCTCATTTACAGCCGAGGTGGACTGGCTCGCTGCAGGACAAGATAAAACAGCTGTAGGACTTCGTTCTACACCAAATTATGACTTAAATCCAGGTCTGAGGACATTCCAAACACCGACAAGGGATCAGCAGTGTACCCATACTGCCAGCTCTTATCCATTGGATACTGTCGTCGTTGCACTGAAGCTTTTTTTATGGGTCAGCGAGTGTAATTTAAGCTCTAAGATACAATGTTCAAAGGCAATAATGTTCAAAAACACGGTTCATTTTCCTCCGCTTACTGGAGCAGTGACAGAGAAAGAAAATGAACAAACAGCTGTTCTGGATTTTCCTCGGTTGTGTTTGCAGCAGAGTATCTTCAAGTTTCAGAAAGCAAACCTCTTTTAAAGATTTTTTCCCCCAGCAATGACACCTGGACCCGAACAATAAAAATTACAAGGCCAAAGACATTCTTTTGTTTTGTTTTTTTTGAAGACGGGGAATAAAATAGCTCAAAACTACAGAGACATAAAAGAGAGTTCCAAGTTCTTGATTTAGTGTCTTTATACGTAGAACTGCATAGTTTTGCTATGTTTAAAAAATATACCCCTCTATAACTCACCCTAAAATTGGAAATCCAATGCATAATTGGTAGGTGTTGGGTAGTGTGTCATTTTTATTAGCCATTTTTCCAGGAGCTGGCTCACAGGCATCTGGTGATTAACCTCTAGATGTCCTCTATTAAATAAATCCAGACAATAATTGGAACAAGGTGTACCTCTACACCATCTATGAACCACCAGCAATCAGCTTTCAGATATAACAGTCTACAGACTACAAATCCTAATTAGAAAATAATGGTTGAGTACGAAACAAGATCTGTCAGGACAAGTGTMCCCTATTGTTATCTTTTCTTCTACACAGAGCACCTCCAAGGTGGTTTTTCATTGTCATTTATCTGCTGATATTTTGACTTTTATTAATGTTTTTAACTCCAATCTAAGGAGGTTACACATTCCTCACTACGTTGATCCAAATTCTCCACTGCAGCCATCAAATCCAGCTGAACATTTTCTCTGCAGRGATTAAAGCCTGGACTTGGGTCCTCCTATCCTAACCTGTTTCTCCTTTCACGGCCCCCTTCCTGCCTCCATGCCTCTCTAGACAGAATGATAATACAGGCCTAATCCCCCCTCTTCTCCCAATCCTTCCGTCAAATGAAAGAAAGGATATAAGCACATTACAAATCTCATTACTAGGCTTTAGGTATGCCTCTGTGCTGCATACAAGCACCTCATCAGCTGCTTACAGTAGGTGAAAGTGAGTGAACAAAAGTGTTGACGGAGAGCCGGTTCAGTTAAAAGTGTCTGTGGGTTTAATGCATTTTTGTGTGCTTATTTTCTTGTAGCAAGTGGGATGGGTATTAATGGCTTAAAACAAAACAAAAAAAGCACAACCAAGGTGATAAAAATGCGCCCGTGTAGGAAAAAAAAACACTGATATCTCATCCCACTGAATTTCATTCCACCGAGCGTGTTTTTAGTTGTCTGATTTTATTAGTCACGCTTGATTATGATTCATATTATTCACATTATTTTGCTGTAAATTCGTGTTTATGGGGCGTGCTGGGTAACTGTGCTCAGGCAGTGGAAAGTGCTGATGAACATGTCAGATTAATGCAGCTCATTGTTTCGGTGCTTTCAGAAAGGGGGCAGGTGACTAAATTCAGCTCACAAAATGAAACAAAGCAGCAGCAGAGGGAACAAAACGAGCACTGCAGAAAAATGACAGGTTGTACATAATCTGATATACTGGTTTTGCTTCAAGGAGTGGCTTTTATACAATAAATATGCCCATTAAATTCTAAATTTAGATAATTTATTTTGCCTTTTTAAATAATATATACACTAAGAAGAAAATTAACTTTGTAAAATCTCCAATGAAAAAAAATAWATTACTGGGTAAATTTTCATTCCTCAATACTGGTCGAGTTGAGAACAGTATGAATGCTTTTGGGTTTTTTTTTATTTTAAAACTTAGAATATGGTTATATTTTATATTTTAGTAAACTGCTGACAGAAGGCCTGTTAGAAATGGTTTCTCTTGTTACAACATGTAGGCAGTAGATGCAAAATCCATTAAGTAATCTGAAAAACCAAYGTCAGCTACTAACGACTCAAGCTGATGCGAGTCATTTTTGGAACCATCTGCTCTGTCTGTTTCAACTTCTTGCTTGCCAAACTTCTTAAATGTAACCAAAGATTATGAGTTTGTGTTTACTTGGACCAATTCAAACCTTAATATTTCACCATTTTTTCCAAAATGGAATCATAAATAAAGTCCAACATTTAGAAAAGTTAGAAAAACTAAATGAGCAGAACATTTCGATAAATGAATATCCATACGCACAAAGTACAAAACTGTAAAAAACATAAGCAAAATTAAAAAAAAAACCCCAGGAAGACCATTGTGTGAATGCTGAATCAGCAATAATTCATACATCAGGGAAACTGTAACGCTGCTGACTCCACTCCACAATAGTACCTTTTGCAGATTTCAATAGCATGCTAATACTGATAACTGTGCTAAACCTGCACACAATAATTACATTATAAACGTTTCCATCAACTTCCATCCTGAACACAGTAGTAAAACACTGCATGACTGTACAAAAATTCAATATGATGCTGTRGTTGAAAATAAAGAGGAAGAAAAAAGAACTCCACAGAGCTCCACTCCAGAGACTTGAAGTAGCTGGAAGAGCTCAGAGAGCAGATTGGTTGTTGGCCTTTGCTGGTGCGGAGCAGAGAGGGAGAAGTGGAGAACTTCTGCCTTCACAAACAATGAGCTGTGATCACAGTTCAGCAGAGCACTCCGGGCTACAAACCTTTTCATCCCACAGTGCCAAACAAAGCCCGGTTAGGAGGGCCTTTTCTGCCCAYGGCTATCGGACTGCTCGACAGCTCATTTGTCATTTGGTGGGCGCCTTTATCCAAAGAGTCCTATAGATTCACAAGTGTCTACATTTTCAGTAATGGCGCCTTTCGAAAAATGAAACCCTTCACCCTTTTCTGTGGTACTTCCTTTTTATTATGGTATGAATTGGATAGGGGTGATGAGTTGTGATGTTAATGTCAAAGCTCAGTGAGATGGTCGCATAACTCAACATGTGTTTACAGTTTTAATACTGAGAATAATTCAAGGGCCTAGTATTAGTTGAAGAAATTTATAATCGCCACCACCTTTTATGGCCCAGTTTTAAATCATCTTGTGTTAAGTGACAAAGCTGTAGCCATTTCTGGTTAGACTGGTTAGAAATCTCATGACATCCATGAAGATGTCATGTTCAGAAGACGAGTTCTGACTCTTAGCTTTTACCAAAGTTTAGATTAGTGTCTGTAAAACTGATGAGTTAGTCATGTTGGCGGCCATCTTGCTTCTGTTTATTATATATTTTTGGCGACAGATGTGGGAGAAATTATCCACATTTATTCATAATTAAATGCTGGAATACATCAAACTACAGATMCTACACAGCCAAAATTTGTCTRGTTCAGTTCTGGCTCACAAAATACACGAAAGCTAACACTGGGTGTATATACCGCAAAGAATGACGGCCCTTTGGTGGCCCAGATGTGGTTTCCCAGAGGTGGTTCATCTATGGACCAACACCACATGAACCAAACCACAAACGAGGCCAGTGGCATGCCATCTTAAAGGTGACATATCATGCAAAATCCACCTTTTTTTAAGCTGTACAACATTTTGTTGTACTTTGAGTCTCTAAGAATGCAGAAAATTTGAATTTAACCTCTCCTGGTGCTGCAAAGATACATTTATATTCTGTTTGGGTCATATTTTCCAATCCGTTCAGTTTTCTTTAGTTTCTATTACATTTTTCTGAGCTATTATATCAAATTATCTGTGATGGAACTGCCAAATTAGGTCTGGACTAGCCAACTACAATTTGGTGGTTCTAGATTAGACTCTGGGTCTGGGTCAGACTCTGGCTCCAACATGTAAGGCTGGATGGACAAATCGTCTGTTGTTGACATCTTTCAAATTGTAAATAAAATGTTTCTGCAAGCTAGAAAACATTGCCCCTTTTACTCAAACTGGAGTGGACCGGTCTGGAAGCCGGAGGGGGGCGGGGCTTGAAGCATCTTAAAGGAACAGTAACAAAACCAGCTGCTTTGAGACACACAGCAGAAAAGTGGTGAAAAGGAGCTGGTAAAGTTAAAATGAGGAGGAATTCAAACAAAAGCATTGTATTCCTACTCTATAAAGACCCCAACTGAAGGATTTAAATGTGAAAAGGAAGGATTTAAATCCATGATATGTCTACTTTAAAACAGCTCCATCATGACCAAACCTGGCCCACACTTTATGGATGTGTTTAAGGCTTCAACAGAATCAAATTTATACATACCCATTGTGACAGGAGGGACAACAGGGTCTATCGATGAGGGCTTTGCCTTGACCGGGATGGGTGTGGTTGGTCCATTTACCATCACATGACCTGGAAACCAGTAAAGGAGAAATCACTTTAAACAAAACAACCATTGCTTCTGCCCRTTATAGTTCCAGTTTGGATATTCATTTGAAAGATCATGATTAGGGTTGGACTTTGTTTGAATTTGAACAATTCCAGGAGAATCAAAACTTCAGTCCCGGTTCCAACCAATACTCTGWGCCCGACCCCATTCATGATTTTAAATCTAATATATTTCTTCCACACAGGGGTTTCTGGAAGACATTTTATTTACACCGTTCATATCAGAGGATAGGGCGTCACCTCTTGAATAAATAAATAAATCCCTCATCCACAAATATCCAGAACAATTCCCCTCTTTAGCTTCTAAAAAGGTAATCCATTTCACATCTCAGAAAGCACAAACACAATCCTCTGATCCAGATGGTTGCAGAGTTATTAACCTTTATTTTCTGCTTACACATACCTGCTTTTGTGTTGAGGTTTAACATTTCAAGCAGAGTAAACGTGCTGTGAAGTAAAGCTCCTTCAGTGTAGTTACTATTTGATCATGATGGTGTTTTACTGGAACATCTGAGGACTCGCACACTTACCCAGGTAGTGCAGCAGCTTCTGGGCTCGGTTCTGAGTGGGCTTGAGGTTGAAGAGTTCRGGGTTCTCATCGATGAACTGGGTGTCCACGGTGGAGTGCAGGAACTGGTTGTTGGAAAAGACATTCTGGAGGAACGGGATGTTGGTCTGCAGACAGGAAGACAAAATAGTTGGGATTAGCTTTTATTAAAAACTTTTTTTAAACATTTCATGCTCAAACTTTCGTCACCTTCAATACAAACATCCAACTAGAGGCTGCAGTTTTGTATTTGACAAATATTTGCTCGATGTTCAGGGAAATAGAACGCACTGGTAAACAAACAGCAGCTTCACAAAACTTCGCTAGAGTTCTGACAAAAATATGCACCGTCTTTGCAACATAAACAAAAACTGTACACACTTACAGAGAAACTTAGTTGGCCAAATTAATTACATTTCTTTTTTTCCCCAATGTTTGCAACTAAATAATCATTGAACCAAATAAACTATAGATGAATTATCAAGAAAAGGGAGAATGTGTGGAARAAAACTGAAGATAAATAACCATTTCAGAACTTAACTTGTTCCTGTTTTTGACTAAAACATTTTTTTAGATTTGTCATATTCTGGATGACAGTCCAATAGGGTTGATTCAAACAGGTAATGTTAAACTTTTTGTATATGTTGAGAAAGATGCTTTGCTAGAATCACA